CCTGTGTCTCACCTGTCTCACCTGTGCAGGGCCCGCAGTGCCAGCAGTGCCGGCCGCTGTTCGTTGGCTCCGCCCTCGGGGGCGGGACCTGTCTCACCTGTCGCAGCTTCTGCCGGAACCGCGCCCAGGTGTGCCTGAGCCGCGCCCAGCTGGAGCAACACCGCGCAGACCCCCGCAGGTACCCCCTGGAGCCACACCTGGTGAGCACCTGGGGGGGCTTGGGGACACACCTGGGGACACCTGAACACACCTGGGACACACCTGGGGGGGCTTGGGGACACACCTGGGGACACCTGAACACACCTGGGACACACATGGGGGGCTTGGGGACACACCTGGTGAGCACCTGGGGACACCTGGGGGGGCTTGGGGACACACCTGGGGACACCTGAACACACCTGGGACACACCTGGGGGGCTAGGGGACACACCTGGTGAGCACCTGGGGACACCTGGGGGGCCTTGGGGACACACCTGGGGACACCTGAACACACCTGGGACACACCTGGGGGGCTAGGGGACACACCTGGTGAGCACCTGGGGGCACCTGGGGGGCGTGGGGACACCTGGGGACACACCTGGGACACACCTGGGGAGCTTGGGGACACACCTGGATACATCTGGGGGGCTTGGGGACACACCTGGGGACACCTGAGATACACCTGGGGACAGCTGGGGACACCTGGGGGGGCTTGGGGACACACCTGGGGACATCTGGGGACACACCTGGATACATCTGGGGACATCTGAGATACACCTGGGGACACCTAGACACACCTGGTGACACCTGGGGACACACCTGGACACACCTGTGGCCTCACCTGTGCAGATCCACACCTGGGTGTCGGAGGGTCCCAGCGAGGCCGAGGCCGTGTGCGTGAACTGCCAGAACAACAGCGTGGGGGACAGGTGTGACACCTGCCGGGCGGGGTTCTTCATGCTGGACGGGACCTGCACCAGGTGAGTGACACACCTGGGGACACCTGGGGACACCTGGGGACACCTGGACACACCTGGGTGGGGCTGGGGACAGGTGTGACACCTGCCGGGCGGGGTTCTTCATGCTGGACGGGACCTGCACCAGGTGAGTAACACACCTGGGGACACCTGGGGACACCTGGGGACACACCTGGGGACACACCTGGGGACACCTGGACACACCTGGGGACACCTGGGGACAGCTGGGGACACCTGGGGACACCTGGGACACACCTGGGGACACCTGGGGACACACCTGGGGACACCTGGACACACCTGGGGACATCTGGGGACACACCTGGGATACAATAAGTCAAAAATGAGGGAAAATTGGGAAAAAAAAGTGGAAAAGTCGGGAAAAATTGGGGAAAAAAATGGGAAAAATGAGGAAAAAAATTGGGAAAAAAGTAAGGAAAAAAATGAGAAAAAATGAGGAAAAAATGGGGAAAAATTGGGAAAAAAATGAGGAAAAATTGGGAAAAATGGGGAAAAATTGGGGAAAAAAATGAGGAAAAATTGGGAAAAATTGGGGAGAAAATGCGGAAAAATGAGGAAAAAAATTGGGAAAAAATAAGAAAAAAAATGAGAAAAAAAATGAGGAAAAATTGGGCAAAATTGGGAAAAAAATGCGGAAAAGTCGGGAAAAATTGGGGAAAAATGAGAAAAAAATGAGGAAAAAATGAGGAAAAATTGGGAAAAATTGGGGAAAAAATGAGGGAAAAAATGAGAAAAAAAAAAGGAAAAAATTGGGAAAAATTGGGGAAAAAAATGAGGAAAAATTGGGAAAAATGGGGAAAAATTGGGGAAAAAAATGAGGAAAAAAAATGAGGAAAAAAAATGAGAAAAAAAAATGAGAAAAAATGAGGAAAAATTGGGGGAAAAATGGGAAAAATGAGGAAAAAAAATGTGGAAAAAATAAGGAAAAAAATGAGGAAAAAATGGGGAAAAATTGGGAAAAAAATGAGGAAAAATTGGGAAAAATGGGGAAAAATTGGGGAAAAAATGAGGAAAAAAAATGAGGAAAAAAAATGAGAAAAAAAAATGAGAAAAAATGAGGAAAAATTGGGG